TGCCTGTTTTGTCAGGAGTTTGCCTGTTCCCATGCAGCAGTGGCCTGGAGGGGGGAACAGAGCAGTTGCATTGCAAAGTCTGAAGTGTGAGAGCCTGGTCTGCTCTTTCTGCCTGGCTTTGAGAAAGTGGCAGCATCAAAAAAAAGATGATGGGCAGCAGCTTGGGAGGTATCAGACTTAAATTTAGAGCACCCAATAGGGGCATAGGTAGGGGTGTTCTTCCCCAGTTCCAGCTTCAGTGAGAGCCCCTGGCCCCAGAGAGGGTGTGGGGGGGACGTGTTGCTCTGCTGCATTCAGGGCACTCAAGCTCTGCAGGCTGCAGCTCTGTTTTTAGGCAGGAAAAACTGTGTGTATGTCCAAGGAATCCTTGGTATTCCTGCCACTGGAGTTCTGTTTTGGAGCATGGGGTCCAGCAGGTCTTTTGGCAAGTCAGGCTGAAAGGGGGCTCAACCTTCCAGCACCCCAGAACTCAGCAGTGCTCAGAGCTAATAGCCAAGTGAAAAAAAAAAGGATCAATAAAGGAGGCCTTCAAACAATAAATCAGTGTGATGCATGCACAGAAAGGCTCTAGCTTGGTCACTGGTGTGGGCCTGTCCCTTCAGGCCGTGTCCTCAGCCACCTGAGGGGTTTTCCTCCTGGTTTCCTGGCAGCCTGCAGGGCTGAGGTGCCCACAGATGGAGCTGGAGTGTCTCTCCCTGCAGCCCTGGGTCTGGAGATGTCAGGAGCAGAAAGTCTTTTTGTTGTTGTTGTTGCATTGGGGATTTTTTGGGGAACATTTCTCCTTCTGTTGCAAATACCCACAGCTCTCAGCCAGCTTGTGGAGCTCCTCACAGGTGTTTCAGGTGATTTTCTTCTTCAACAATATTTCTTAATAACAACACAATGTCTCAACAGCATGCAATACTACCAAATAACAGGCTTTTCTTTTGCTGTTTCCTTTTTGCACTTAAATATCTCTCCCCTGTATCAAAGTTGCTTCTTATTTTTGCTGCAAGGCCACTGTCCATTCAACTCCTGCTCCTGTGGCTTCGCTCTCACAAAGCTTTGCCACATGAGCAATACCTTGTCCTGAGGAAGTTACACAGGATGTTAGTGCTGTTATTTGGCATTTCAGTTAATTTCCCTTTATCTTCAGTGTGGCTTTTCAGGATTTACCCATTATAGTTGTGGGTGTTTTGTGTTTTTTTTTAAACACAGGTGAAAAAAAAAGGGTCTCTGCAACTAGTAGGGTTAAAACACTTTGGCCAGGCAGGGAGGGGATGGGGAGAGCCAGAGTTCTTCTATTTATTTTTTTTCCTCACCGTTTCCCAAGGAATTGAATTCTTGCAGAACCAGGGAGTCTTTGTGATCATCAGCATTTTTACCCTTATGCCATTGTCAGGCTGGAAAAGGATTTGCAGAAGCAGTCCCTGCATCCCCCGTGGCCTCCCCTGTCACCCTAGGAGTGACAAGGTGGGTGATGCTGCTCACAGTTGCTCTTCAAAGCAGAGGGGTGGGTGTGGTGATGCTCCCTGGAGGTTTGCACACAGGCAGGACTTCACCACGGGCCAAGCAGGATGTGACAAAACACACCAGGTACTTTAGGGAGGCGTTCAGAACGTCCTGCTCCCCTGTTTGAACTCCTGCTGGCTCTGGACAGAGGGTGAATCTTTGTGGACACGCTGCTGGGTTCCTGACCCACACAGGAGGGCTTTTCCTCTGCAAAACACTTCCAGGTGGGTGGAACCAGCAGGCTGTTTTGATGGCACAAACCACACGGAGACGTTAACCGTGGTCTGAGAGAAGAATCCAGTTGGGTTGTGGTTTGACACCCCAGTCCCGTGGCTCCGAGCCCAGAGGAAGAAGCCCCAGCACCAAATTGGATTTCCCCATAGCACGTGACAAACTCCCTCGTGTATAAAAATGTTTATAAATATTTGTGGATGAAGATGCACAGGTCTATTTTTAAGATTTAAGTTAAAGAAGTCAATGAATGGCTGGCCTTTTTTTGCCTAAACGTGCAATGAGATGTATTATACCTTTAGTCCACGATGGCCTAGGTACTGCTTAGTCTGTGATGAAAACTTTGCTGCTTACCTACTGTTCTCAGAGAAAAAAAACCAACAACAACCTGTAAAAGACGTCAAGGTTTGTTGCACATGGACTATTTGACCACTGGTAATATGAATGTGTTGTATTGACTTGTTGAAGATAATCATGAAACGACATATTTTAAATGTTACTTGCCTTATAGATTAGAACATGACTATGTGGGTATCATTTTTGTAAATAATGTTTTTTATAAATGTCTTTCCTCCATTCCCCTGCCCCCCCCCC